ACACACACACACACACACACACACACACACACACTCTCTCTCTCTCTCTCAAACACACACACACACACACACACACTCATATTCTCTCTCGCACATTTTATCCTTCTGCAGCGATTGACCCCGCCCCCAAGATTGACGGACAGCAGGCCTCCATGGTAACCGTGCAGGAGAACGTCACTCACCACTTCAGCTGCCAATCAGAAGGCTGGACCCGTGAAGCCCCACCCCTTCTCACCTGGTACCTGAACGGGGAGCGTCAGAGCGAGGTGACAGGCAGGCGGGGGGCGGGGCCGGGGGCTGGGCGTGATACGTCACCGCGGGAGCTGCGGTTCGGTTCTGAGCGGAACAGTTCGTTCACACTGAGGCCGCGGCGCGGGGACCGGGAGCTGGTGTGTGCGGCGCAGAACACTGCAGACGGAGAAACCTTCAACGCCACCGTCACGCTCAACGTACAGTGTGAGCAGCGCTTATACATCCGCTAGCACTAGCGTACTGTATAGTGTAGACCATGGAGCTGTTCTAAACCTGCCGGAACTACTTTAGCTGTGCTTTTATTTGACAATAACCAAACCCCTGAGATCAGCCAATCAGAGTGCAGGATTCAGCAGATGGGTTTCTGTGATCTGTTAATTGATATGATGGTTCGTCAGGCTGGTGATCTAAATGAGTGACTCTGCCAGTTTTCTCTTTGACCACAGGTGGCGCTAGTGTGCTCACAGTGCAGCTGTAAGCGTGTGCTGTATCTGCAGTGTGTGTTTGGTTCACGTGTGTGTGTTTAATGTTTAATGTGTGTTTGTGTCAGTCCAGCCGGAGATCCTGCGTGTAGACGCTCATTACAGCGAGACCTCGGACCCCGGACTCGCCCTCATCCTGTTTGCTTTGGTTCGCTCCAACCCCCCCGCCACCATCTCCTGGGTGGACCAGTCCGGTCAGCTGGTGGCAAACAGCTCTGACTTCCTGATCCTGGACTCGAGGAGCTTCCCCTGGCTGGCCAATCACAGCCTGCAGGTCACGCTCAGCAGCCTATCAGGAAACCTCTCGCTCAACGCTAGCAACAGCCTCGGCTCCGCCCACTCCAACCTCACGCTCACAGGTTGGTGTCGTTGTAAAGAGGACAGATGTTGGTCTGGAGCTGAAGCGAAAATAAACTGTGTCTTTACACATATGAGAATAATAAATATACATCTATTATAATATCTGTCATTACAAGTGTATTTTACTAAACAAGTTCAGGCTAAAATCAACAGAAAAGCAAAGCTAAATATCTGAACTAATGATGATCCAAATTTGAAGTTGGTGTCTCAAAATGTCTGGGTGCAGTACCAGAGATGACCACCAGAGACCAGCAGTGTACACTGACGACCATTCATCTGATCAAGCATGACTGTACAGAGGTGTGTGTGTGTGTGTGTGTGTGTGTGTGTGTGTGTGTGTGTGTTAATACAGAGGTTGTTTCCCCGCGGCTCTCCTCACAGACAGACTGTAATGTGTTTGGACAGTGTGTGTTCTGCCCTGCAGCCGCTCTGCTATTTCTCCTGATGTTTCAGGGTTGATCTGATCCCAGCGCTGTTGCTATGGCAGAAATCACGCGTCGTTAGTGCTTTACTGAAGCTGCGTCTACTTGTTCAACAGCATGGCATATCTACAAAC